ACGTTTTTCGCATTGCAATGCTGCAAGAAACGCATAAAAACTGCATATTTTCTGGGTGGTCTGTACGCGAGATCTAAGTGCGCATGAACGATGAAAAAGGGTGACACACAGGGTGGGAATAAATATGCCCTCAAAACTTTAGCCTTCCAGTTCTCCTGGTTGCTGAGCTGAAAGTGGGTGACAAAATTCACTCGCTTCCGAACACACACACACGCATACATATGGCCTACCTCTCAGCAGGATGCGTTTTTGCTCACTGAGGAGCACAGTGAAAACGCATAAAAATCTACGAAAACAGTCTAAGCATCTCAGCAAAATTGAAGAGGGAAGCGGGAGCGAGCCGCCCAAAACAATATGGCAATTTCGTCGGAATGATTTCCGAAACATTTCAGCATCTGATGGCATTGTTGCCAGCAATCGCCGTCAGCAGCGCTCGATGCCTCGTTCGGCATTACAGCGCCCGGTCTCGTTACACCTTTAAAATTTACAGTGCCCTTCCCTCACTATGTATTTCACTAGAAATGCTCCTAAATCCATGTATGCTTGCAAAAAATATTGCTCCCTTTGCTTGTCATTAAATTGCCAAAAATAACAGTGCGCCGGTATCTGATCTTTATCAATCATTACAGAGTTGCAGCAACATGCAGGCACAATGATGGATTAATCAGAAAACAGGATGAGATCAATCAAAGTGTACTCGGCGCTGACAAGACGTGTGAAATACGAAAGAACGCGACTGAACGCAAAGGATTTTGGCCGGTAATAAAAGCCCAGGGCCTGTGTTTTTAAGCCAAATTTATTGCAAAAAAAAAATAAATAGCGGCGCGCACCACAGAATGCAGTCATGCATTTTTCGCCTTCCCGTGCAGCAAACGTTTGCCATCAATGTTTGCTCTTCTATCTTCCAAATCCGTGCCTTCTGCGCCATTAGTGTGGTCGTTGGGACCAAGGTATACGTGGGAGCTGAATCGGAGTTCACGAGGTTCCTGCATAAGCATAAACCATCATTTTGAAATCTCAGCCTTCTAACTCTTCCGGCACCCCAGATAATAATTTTTTCCCTCCAAAACCTTCACAAGGCTGCACGTGGGCCCAGACGCACGGAAAGCATGCATTTAAATTTGCTGGGTCACAGGTGGCACATTCTCTCCATTCAGCTTCCTAACTTTTGTGGTACCCGAGATAATTTTTCCCGTCAAAATTTTCGCAAAACTGCATGTGGGATTCGAGGGCACGGGGAAGCTGAATTTAAATTTACGGAGTCGCATGCGGGCGGGGAAGA